GTGTGTGTGAGTGAGAGAGAGTGTGAGTGAGAATGTTTGGGCAAATGCCTTTGGACCTCCAGAAGAGACGACGTTGTTCTGTCCTCTGCTGTAAAAAAAAAACACCCAAGCCTGAAGAAAATCAGTTCATTTCTCCATTTCAGTTGCTGTAAGCTGTGTCTCTTAATCAAATAAATCAGAGACCTTTATCAGTGTGAATCAATGACTCTCTGCTTTCTGCAAGCAAGTGGAAGTACCTGGAGAAGTAGAATTGAGGAGCTTCTGCTTCTGACAAGCCAAAAGGATCATCTCAGTGAGCGTTATGGATGTGGATCACTGAACTGCCTTTCCTGTCTTTCCCTCAGCATGTTTTCTTGTGTCTGTCTGCATGTGTGTGCAGGGGAAGCGTTATACAGGATTTAGAGTTTCCACTAGCAGTATCATATGTTCATGGTTCTTAATTATTTATCTGTAGCTGAAAGCTATTTGTTTGTAATTCTGGTCAAGTACAGAAATCTAGTATGTGCTTTCTGTCAACTCTGGTCTAAAAGACAGGTAATTTACAGAATTTTGCACCCTTTTGTAAAATCTTTAACTGGGAATAGGGGGGCTTGATATCCAGCTTGTCTGTATACCACAGTAATTCAAGACAGCAGATCAGTGGTGGGCACTTCATGCCAGCAACTGGCCATTTTAAACAGGTCGCCTTTGTTGACAAGGAAATTGTCAGATCAGCGTATAAACTGACGCATTCTAAAATGTTTAAGAGTCTGACTTTTTTTTTTTGAATCCTTATTTTGTTGAGATGTGTCATATATTTCTATCTCTACCTCTCTCCCTCTTTTAGTTCCTCCCATGAAGTTTTCTGGACTTTCTTTTGGTTCATTGGTAAGAAAAGAAACTGAAGAATGAGAGGGCTTCCTGGTGCAACTCCAACAGTGAACAAATGTTTCATTTTGAGTAATGAGTCGTATGTCATGAGCTGAGTTAGACAGGTCATTTTACAAAGGTGATGGCTTGGTTAAGGTTTATTTTACATAGCCAAATCTCTATTCTATCAAACATTAGTGATTTCAAATTCTCACTGTATTGCTACAAGTATTTCTGTGTTGCTGTGTGATTTTTGTCTGCTTTTGTTTTACTGGTTCCTCTCAGACTAAGTTACTTAAAAAAATTTTCATGCTCAATCATTTTGTTCTATGGATGAACAAAGGGGTTGACTGTAACCTGGCCACTGTTCTTTCTTTAGTCATTCTTGGAGATGGGTGTTGCTGGCTAAGCCAGCATTTATTACCCATCTGTAATTACCCAGGGGGCAGTTTAGTGTCCATCACATTGGTGTGGGTGTGGAGTCACATATAGACACTTAAATGTCTTTTATGGGTAGACTGTCATTCTTAAAACTGTGCCCTGCAACTATGTGTTAGTTTGGAAGTGCTACATAAAAATGACCACTCCAGTGCAAACTGGAGAATTGGAACAAGCATGGCTTTGTGCAATACGTCAGTGGTGAATTCCTTAGGGATGTATTTTCAGAGCTTATGAAGGGTAGCAATGTTTACCATCAGTCACTGCATTCCTGCCATCAAACAGCAAAGAACTGTTAATGGAACAGTTTGTGAGCGCTGAATTAAACTGTTGAGTTGTGGTGACTAATGTGATAGGCTGATTTTCTAATAGTGGTTCAAATAGGAAAGATTAAAGCGAAATTAAGATAATCTTTGAAACTGCTATTTTAGATTTGTAAGGATTGTATGGTTTGAAGATGGTGTTTAAGGTGTGAGTTGGAAATTTATTGATATCAACTTAACACTAACTGAAATTTAAATGTTGGACTCATGGCTGTTAGTGCTTTAAAATCACAATTTTTAATTGATGGTTTTCTGGGGAGACCAAATCATTTAAAAAAATTTGCTTTCAGCTTGCATACACTAAAGCACTCTTTTGAACAGCTTTGCTGATTAATTAGATATTAGGTAGTACTTTTATCTCTGGGTCCAAAGGTTTTGAGTTTAGGTCCTAGACCTAAGATATGAATTGAGCTCTATCCAGGTGAACACTTCAGAGCAGTTCTGAGAAAGTGCTGCACTGTTGGAAGTGCCATCTTGTTCGTTTGAAATTCTTAACCAAGGCTTCATTGCCCTCTTTGCTGGATGTAAAACATTTCTAGACCGTACTTAAAGAAAAGCAGGGCTGCCTCGACCAATAGTTATCGTTTAACACCAATACTAGTTATGTCATTGCTGTTGTGAAGTCCTGAATTGTGTAAATTGGCTTCACACTTTGTGTTACAACAGTGATTACACCTCAGAAGTATCTCATTGACTGTAGAATGCTTTGGGATGTCTTGACATCATATTAGCCCCATAACATGAAACAATATTGAAAATCAAAATACTTAATGCTGCCCAATTTTATTTCCATTCTTTGCTTTCTCTTCCAATTATGATACTGCCACTTGCATTTCAGTCTACTATCTGATCAGTTTTAACTTTAAAGAAAAATAGAAACTGTAATGCTCACTTTTTTTCCCCAGCCTTTTGGGTGCCCTTTTCAATTTTCAGATGGGTGTATGACTCAGTGAATTGTGTGCCCCTTTTTGATTAATGGCTGCTGATTGAGTATTTCTGTCGCCTTTGTTGTTATATCGCATTTCTGTTGCATTTTTTTGTATCGACATTGAGTGAAGTGCAAGTGTCCAGTATACCCTCAATTGTGCAGTGAAGAATTTCTATGCAAGTGAATATTCATATCTCTGCACTTATGCACTTTATTGGTATCAAAGCAGAGAATGGCACTGACTTTTCATTTCAAAATTATAAGAAGGCTAGTAGTTTCAAATGCTATCATAGAATTAATAGTTTTGTGAAGAGCAAAAAAAAAGTATTATTGTACTGAATTTGGATTTAATGGTTATCCCTTTTCAAATCCAGTCTTGAAACATAAGCTGCTTTTCTTTAAAAAAAACTGCTTTTCATATCCCTGTGCCAAGATTATTACAGTACAATGTTGCAATTTCTGTTTGTTACAAGTCAGTATGAGGACTAAGTCAGCCTTCATGCTAGCAGTTGATTTAATTTATGAATGATTAACCAGTCTTTTTAAACTTGAATAGTTGAATATTCATGAAATGTGAGTAATATTTGTAAAATGGGTGCTGTTTAAAATAAATAGATAACCAGGGGCTTCATGGAAAGAAGCAACCTGTTGGAAACTCCTGAAAGTGGATGCTTCTAGATTTCCAGAATGTGGTTTTGATTCTGGTAGGCTCCTGTAGTGAGAATTTTGGAAAGAAGAGGAAAAACACCACATGTTGACAAGTGTGTCTCTTCGGCAGTCCCTCGGATGAGGATGATTCTTGCTCATTGCAAGAATGTGCTTTTGGAATCTTTAATGTGGGAATGCTGTTGCACTGCAACCAGTTCTGGCTGACCAGGAAACTCATCCTCTCGCTGTGAGCTCTTGCTGCCTGCCTTAAGCATACGAGAATGATCCTCAGTTTGTAAATCTTTCTGTGTGGCCATCCAAACTCTGTGGTGGGACTTGAATGTGGTTTCCTTGCCCAGAGGCAGGTAAGCTATCACTGTAGCTCCGATTGAAACATGTACCTTGTGAAATCTATTTAGTGCATTTTGGGAGGTTTTCACTTTCACTACTCAATGTCCTGCTATAATAGTAGTAAACTGTCAAAGGTCAGCAAATACTTTTTCCTATACGAAAATGGCAACAGTTGTAGGAAGAACAGCAGAACTTTAATTTACAAAATCACTCCACTGGTCAGATCTTGAATTACACTGTGATATTTAATTTAAATTTGCTAACTCTTGATGCAGCAATGAACAACAGTAAGCTTGAATACAAAAGATGCTTTACCAGTGCAAACTCTCAACATTGGCTAGAAAGCCTATAGGATGCCTGGCTCTGGGTCAGGAGAATCATATGGTGGTAACAGGGGCTAGGGTGTATTAATGGAAAAAGAACCTTCAAGTTGAAATGCATTATATTAAACCAGGCCAGCCGGATACAATGGGTAAATGGTATCTGGAGTTGTGATTATAGTTTGTTCTAGGAACAGGAAGTACTCAAGTGGCTGAGCAGAAAACGTCGGCACCCAGAGCCTAGTGGGGAGGATGCAAAATCCAGTGTTGTTCATATCATCAAAATGTCAGGGGTGGGATGTGAGGGGAAAGAATATTGAATAAAATTGAAATGCTCACATAACACAAGATCAGTGTTTGAAGCACTAGGCACCAAGGAGTACAGTGTCCAAATAACAACTGGATTTTATTATTTTGCAGCTGAAATTCCAAACTGTGAGAAGGGACAAACTATGGAGGGGAAGAAAAGGAAGTTTTAAAATTTTGTCCTTTTTTTTTTCCACTGCAGACCAGAATCTAGGCATTTAGTTTTGAAATTGATGGAACCATGGAGAGACCCCAGTATATTCTGAACCTCCATAAATTTTGTCAAAGCTATCCCTACAATTTTTTTTTGTAACTGAGATTTCCACAAATTGGTGATTCAGGCTATCTCCTGTACTGAGAGCAAAAGTTCTCAAATTATCTGAAATTCAGTTCATGCTTTAAATTCATTTGGAGACAGCTGCTACTGAAAAGATAACCTAATATTGTAGCTTTTAATGTGCACGTTGTTGTGAGATAGTATTAGTAGAAGTGCATGGATGATCTTTTTGTGAGTATTGTAAATTCATACATGATTGAACCTCTAATAACATGACATTATTTTAAAGCTGAGGCCTGTTGTGTGTAGATTGTAAACTGTTAATATGCCCTAAATGCTGCATAAATTTTAATGTAAAATACATTTTTGGTTCTGAAACGGTCTGCTTTTGGTGACTTTCTTTTTACCCTTCAGTTTCTTTCTCTTTCCCCAGTTAAAAATATTGTTAAAACCATAATGTCAGCCATGGCTGTAACTGAAAATGAAGTATATAATAGATCAACTATCTAAGCCACTGTAAGGAAATGAAAAAAAAAACTTATTGATGATGTTGCCTCCAGGTGGTTGACAGGACAAAAGGAATTGCAGATGTTCCTGAGTGGTTCAAAGGAAGCAGATTAAACTATGCAGAAAATCTTCTGAAGCATAAAGATGATGACAAAGTGGCTCTTTATGCGGCATGTAAGTGTTTTATTGCTTTGATTTCAGGAGGAATGTGGTGAGACAAGATATTCGGCTCCATGAATTTCTTGTTTAGGAATGTGATGGGTTTTTATCAGAGCAAAGCCAAACGTACCTTTTGGTTTTGCTTCATGTAGGACAAGAAAAGCCAATTGCCCCTTGAAGACTGTTTGTTTTTTTTTTCTCCACAATATATGCACAACCTGTCCTGTCATAATTCTATCCCTTCTATTCAATTTGCTGAAGACTGAATTCTGCACCAAAGCTGTACAGTTTCTTAAAGGTCAGCAGGCAAGACTCCATGATGAAAATCATGAAGAGTTGAACAGTGCATACGTGATATTTGCTTGACAGACAATGGTCCACCAACCTATCGCACACCCGCCCCCACCCCCCAAAATAAAAACTGCCAGTGGTAAATGAGAATCAGCTAGAACCTGTCACATAGATTGGCTTCCACCAAATGTCACAATATGTTCATTGTTACAACTTGCCCATTGTTTAATATCCAGCCAACAGCTTTTATGAGAATACTTTCATCTGTGGGTAAGATAGCAAGTTTTTAATTTAAAAAGTCTGCTCAAATCTAATGATCCATCTGAAACATTTCCAAAGTAAAATCCACATTCACATTCATGATTAATGTAGGGGTTTAGTTGATCATCTGCAACATGGGAAGAAAACTAAGTAGTTTTTGCATTTGTATACAAGTGGCAAGGTGATTCACGATATTAGAACTAGTATCTTGTTGTATAATGATCGCTTGGATATATAATTTCAAACCATTCTATTACTGTCTTCATATATAAGAGAAAAGTCAAATAGCTGGCTGGATTGTAGTAATTTCAGATAAGATTGTTTTGCTAGACTGTTAGAGTGGTCCCTTTTTCTATGGTAGTTTTCTAAAAAAAAAGTCTTGTATTTTAGCCGGATATGTCATTGAACTTTCGTATTTCAAGTGATTTGTTTCGAATTTCATTACGACATTTGTGTATTAAGGTGGCCTGGTGGTTCGGTGATTAGCACTGCAGCCCCACAGTGCCAGGAATACAGGTTTGATTCCAGCCTCTGGCCACTGTCTGTGTGGAGTTTGCACCTTCTGCATGTGTATGTGTGGGTTTCGACTGGGTGCTCTGGTTTCCTCCCACAGTCTAAAGATGTGCCGGCTGGATGGATTGGCCATGCTAAATTGCACATAGTGTCCAGGAATGTGCAGGCTAGGTGGATTAGCAATGGGAAATGCAGGGCTTCAGGGATATGGTGGTGGGTCTGGGTGGATGCTCTTTGGAGGGTCTGTGTGGACTCAATGGGCCATGTGGCAGGGATTCTATGATTCTGTGATTTTTGAAAGCTAAATCAGGCTCTATTGTGTCCACATCTTATCTTCAATATCATAAAATATACTGATGATCCACTTCACAAGACTGTCAATGTCTTGGATGCATTGACACTTCATCTACAGGTATGAATAGATGCGTGTTTATCCCAGAGTCTTGTAACTATTTTATGAACTAAATGTTTACTCTTTTATGTATGGATTTTAATGTATTTAAACACTGAGAAGCGCAGTTACAAAGTGTGTATAGATGCTTCTTTCTAAATATCATACGTACTAAATACAGTTGGCTATCAGCGTTTGTTTTGTACTGAATTTTTGCTGTCAAATTTTAATTAGTGGTGTTCTGTTGTTTAACAGCAGAAGGCAAAGAGGAGATTGTCAAAATGACATTCAAGGAACTAAAGAGAGATGTGGCTTTGTATGCAGCAGCACTCCGAAAGTTGGGAGTGAAAATGGGTGACAGAGTTGTTGGTAGGTACCCATTTGATTTCTAAATGAAGAATCTTAATTTTCTGTTTAAACAAGATAAAAGTTTGTGGCAATTTGTCTTTCAGTACTTGAAGTGTTTAAATGCATTTAAATTAGAAAGTAAAAGTTGGTACATTTAAAGAAAGAAAAGGAACAGCGGAAGCCTGCCACATGTTGAAATTGTTCAGCAAATTATGCAACATGTTTATATATTTTTCTTGAAAGGGGCCCCTGTCTCCATGTCCTCCTGCATATTGCAGAAGGTGCTGTAACACTGTACTGATCTCACTTACTGCTGTGCCCCACCTACCAGGCACCAGGTCATTTCTTTTTATATTTGCTGCTAGGATGCTTCAAAAAAAAATCCTCCACAAGATATAGGCATTGCTGGCAAGGCCAGCATTTATTGCCCATCCCTAATTGTCCTTGAACGGGTGTTGGTGAGTCACTACCTTAAAATGCGGTGAACTATGTGGTGTGGTACCCCCCTGTTTCTCTTAGAAAGGGAATTCCAGGATTTGTCCTAACTGAAGGGAATATTGCACATAGTTTCAAAGTATCTGCTCCCTTTGTGTTTCTCACTGATAGAGGTTGTGGGTTTGGAAGGTCCTGCTGAAGGAGCCTTGAGTTACTGACACTCCTGGTGCCACACATAGCAGATTGCTTTGCTTAGTTAACCACACTGATGCTACCGTTGTAGCTGCCTATAACTGACAGAACCTCTAAAGAAACCAGCATTGTCTGATTTTAGCTGATCGGTTTTGACATGTAGCACCATAGTGTCTTATGAATGTGTAGTGGATTGCATTTGTATTGAGGGTGATCTGATTTTTAAACTTAATTGGCTGACTGAGGGAAATGTTGGTGATCTTCTCAATTAGCCTTAAACATAGTCTTAATTTAAAAAGAAGCGGTCTCGGAAACTGGGACAGGAACCATTAATATAAAACTAGTATAAAATTAGTATCTTAGTACCTCAATTTAGTTGATATACTGAGTAGTTTTTCTTCGATGAGTAACTCAGTAGAAATCTCAGGTTAACTCCCTCAAGATTTGGCACTGTGATTTGTACGTAGTGCAGCCTGTATCAGACGTTCAAGTGCTGAAGGAAATGTTCTGAACAACTGTTTCACTGTAATGCTTTTCTGTAAGAATTTGACTGCTTTTCAAGTCTGTGTGCAGCCAAAGGGAAGTCTGTTATTTAGTTACATTTCTATGAATACATCAAGCACTAGGTTACATTAGGGATGTTGCTACATTCTGTGTTCTGATACAAATATGTTTCTTTCATTGGATTAGACTTTGAAATCAATCCAGTCTTAAGTTCAGTTTCGTTGATCATTGCATGAATATCCCATCTGCAACCTGAGTGAAAGTTTAAACACTTCTTTTGGGAATTTGCCTCGTTCTGCTCGCACAATTGTGCGTTTGCAGAAAATGTTACTAATGGGATTTCTTTTGGTGCAGATGGTTTTGATGCAGGATGTGTTCTGTTGAATTAATGATTGATCCTAAATATAACAATGAGACTTAGGACAGGTATAAAAGAAATATGATAGAACATCAGCAAAAAATTTACAGGGCAATAGAAAGCTTCCTATTTCATGTTACTGTTAAAGTATCCATTACTTCAAGGTAAGGATAACATTGCTAGCACACAGTGAGGGATTGGCAGGAACTCAAGTGCAAAATTGAGACTCTTGGACTGGAGGAAATTAGCATAGATTGAGAATTGGTTAATGAGCCAATCATGTAAGTGGCATTTTCAGGCTGACAGCTGTAGTGAGTGGTGTACCACAAGGATTAGTGCTTGGGTTTCAGCTACATACAACTTGTATGAATGACTTGGATGTGGAACCTGATTGTGATCTTTCCAAGTTTGCTGATGATGAAAAGCTGGATGGGAATGTAAGCTGTGAGGAAAATGTAAAAGAATATGTGATGTGTAGGTTAGGGGGATGGGCCTGGGTGGGATGTTCTGAGGATCGGTGTGGACTTGTTGGGCTGAAGGGCCTGTTTTCACACTGTAGGGATTCTATGATCTGTGATCTAATATAAGCAATGTAAGTGAGGTGGTAGGTTCATGGTGGATGGAATATAATGTGCATGAGTGTGAAGTTGTTACATTTGAACAAAAGAGAACACAGAATAACTTTTAGTTAGTAAGAGACTGGCAGGTGTTGGTATTCAGAGACACCTAGGAGACCTAAGTCGGGAGTGTGATCAAAATACTCTTCATTTGCCCGTAGGATGCAGTTACGTTAGTGAGAAAGTCTGTCGCCATCCACGACATTGTAGTGCATATCCAACACTCTACATATCTGTGACCTACATCACCTGAAAGGTTAAGGGTTACAGATGGATGGAAAGATCACCACTTTCAAGGCAGCACGATACCAACTTGGACATGTGTCCCTTCCATTCCTTCTCATCATTAGGTTGAATTTCTGCAACCTAACAACATTCTGGGAGAGCATTCATCACATTCACTTTTTTAATTGTTCAAGCACACCTACAGTCAGTCACTAAGTACTGGTCTTACCAAGGATGACATATCACAAGCATTGATTGAAAAACTTGTCTCTATCTTTCCTAGAGTGTGGAGTCC